ATATAAAGTATATCTTCCATACCTCTGATTGTTTAGATGCGATTTTTTATATAAGTATGTAACTCCTCTATCGATGTATGCAGATGTATTCAAAATAAGTAATCTGTCAAACTAAAATTTGCAGATGTTCATGAAAGGTATGAAGCCTTCGGCATAGCCGAAGACAGCGCTGCTCTTACTTGTTAATAATTGTTTTTCCAACATCATTAAAGTTTCTGCAGGAGTTACTCAGGGAAGCCACCTTGGTCCGATTATGTTCCTGATATTCATTAATGATATTTCTTGTATAATAAAACATTCAAAAGTTTTAATGTATGCCGATAATGTGAAACTTTTTAAAACATTGTCCTCTATCGAAAAAAGGGTAGTTGGTGTAATGCGAACTATATGCCACTAAACCTTAAAAAATTTTAAGTTATGTGTTTCTCTCGAAGGACAGTTCAACCAGATTATTAAATTTCAAATTATAATCGGGAGCAGGTATCCAATTTTGTCGATATTGGTATGACAATGGATTCCAAACTCAATTTCAACCTTCATATTAATGTTACAGTCAATAAAGACAAAGGGATTAGTTAATTAACTAATTAATTAATAATTTATCTCGATTATTTTGGCTGTTACAAACAACCGTTATGTGAACAAAGTTAATATACCCTTGTGCACAAGTGCACTCGTGCATAAAACTATTCTTTATTTGATTGTTGAAGAAGTTGTGACCGCGGGAGATCGGGCTACTCTGCACTTTGAAGACAACAGCAAAAACAACGTTCTTCAAGAATTCAAAAAGAAAGTAACCAGATTCGTCCAAGTTCTGTTGTAATTCACAATTAAATAGCGCAATAAAATAATAACAGTGCCCATTGTGTTGTGTGGGCAACACTGATTTTGGTGCGGTAAATGTTAAAGCTGTTTTTGATAGACTTTTTCGTGCTGACTACGAATCCGTTAAACTATATTCACATTACAGCATAAATTACTTTGTTTCGATCAAATTACTTCACATAAACCAAGTTATTAACATTTTCTTTCATAATTTCTATAGCACGTGTACGTACGAGTGTGTGGTTTGTACTTCACACCTTTAGGCATTTCCTCAACAGTGGGGGTTAAGATAAATGAAAAATCTTCTTTTTTCTTTATTTTGTTCCTGATTTATGATAAATTATCTCATTTCTATTCAATTTATTGACAGATTTTACAATGCGAAATTTCTTGATTTCAGCATGATACGCTTATAAATTACAAATGAGTCGTAGATTAGGATAATGTAAATATGCTTTACCGTCGAAACAGAATTGCAGCGTATGACGCAAAGACGCACGTCGCAAATACGTATATGCGTTGTCACAATACGAAAATACTATTACTATAATAAATATATTACTATTAAGCACACAATTGGAACGTAACGTAACAGCGTAAGAAAAACTTAAATTTTATTCGAATGTCAACGGTTGTGTGAAAGTGAACGACTTGAATTGTTGCAATGAATTCTAGACTATTAAAAGTTTATCAGATATTACAAATTCATAGTATCTGTCGTGTATACTTTGTATGAGGCTTAAGGCATTGGCCAATGTAGGCTTGCTTCACTTCGAAAACTGTCAAACAGTTTTTGAACTCTACTAAAATGTACCCTACAAGAATTGTGTGATGGAAACTAACACATTCTCATTTATCTTACTAACACATTTGCAAATTTTGCGTTAGTTAAAAAGAGACCATTAAATAAGGCCACAAGTTGGAGGAAGACGGAAGATCACATGTACACAAATATTTACATCAGATTTTTCATACTGCCCTTTAGAATTTGATAGAAACTTGTAGGTAGCCAGTGACAGAAATCTCTATCAGTCTTGCCACTCAAATGATTTGTCAAATGATAGTCACTGTTCTTGCAGGGTATGAAAGGTGGCCAAATGGCAGCTTGACTTCAATTGCTTGAAGCGCTTCAAAGTTTCAAATAGCCGAAATCTCTATTTGACAACGCTTTGCAGGCTTTTGACAATGAGATATGTTGTCGTGATAAATGAATTCAAGCAAATTGCTAAAGGCTTTTTTAAACTTGTTAAACGTTGTTTAACTAAAAAAGCTGCAAGGATGTACATATATACATATGTACTTGTAAATAAATGTCTTAATTTAAAAAAGTATTGCCGAAAAATGTTAGTAATTCAATGTTAAATAAAAGTGATTCTTCTCTTTCCATATTTGTATTAAACGTATGTATATGCTATACATACGGTGACCATCCGTTCTGTTTTTTGCAGGACCGTACTGTTATTTAAATGTCTGTCCTGCGTAGTTTTTCAAAACAGAAAACCCCCAAAATGTACTGATTTTTTCCAAGTGTCCTGCTTTTGTCCCGCATTTTCTTCGATATTTTATAATTAACTTTTCCTTATAGAAATAAAAGCAGTGTCGATAACTAATTGATAACTACATAAGGGTAAGCTGGTTTTGAAGGTTGAACTAGTCAATGCGTTCTAAATATTGTACGGTTATGGACAATGGATGACGAGAAATTGAAGACCAGCATCAAATATATCGATAACACTGTTCTACAAATTTTGTGGTATTCGCTTAAGAAAAAAAAATAGTTTCCAAGCCAACTTTCCTTTGAAACAAGCGCTTTCGTAATTTTTTTGAAAAACGTGTTTTTGGTACATTTCGAACCTATTCGTCAATATCTCATGAAAAAATTATCCAATCAACATAAGCGACCTACCGTCCTCTTACAAAAATATATTACTTTGCCGATTTCGATGTAAATTGTTAGTGTTACAAGTGACCAAAATCGAAAAATTGAAATTTCAATAATTTTCTTTTTACAGTAAATGACAATCTGATGAGAAATGTAGATGTTACGGAACACAATCTGCACAAAAAATATATATTTTTGCAAAGAGCCCATCAATACCTTTCGAACTGTTGGTCGTTTCATGAGATATTGAGGAATAACTGAAAAAGTACAAAAAATACGGTTTTCGAACAAACCTCGAAAACACTTCTTTGAAACCATGGGTAATTTTTCGTGTTCAACGACCCAAAAATTGCCTAAAAAATTTACTTTACAGAAGTTCATATTTCGTGTAAAGTAATATGTAATCTGCCTTATTATAATTTTGTAAATATTCATTACTAAAAGATTAATACCAATGAAGCAAATGTGATTTATGTTTAAAGTTTAAAATTGGATTAATAATTAAGAAAAATACACTCTTCGTTATAATAATTAGTAGGTACAGTTTTCCTTTTGTTTGTTTAATATTCATTAACTTTTCATAAAAATATAGCATATTCTACGTCTACATCCCCTGCGCATTTTCTTCCATATAAATATTTTGTCAAGCATACTTTGTATGGTAGAAAATCAAAAGAAGGGTGCGCTATTACATTTTTTGAAAAATTGTCCTGCATTTTCAAAATATATTTATGGTCACCGTAGCTATACAAGCCGTGCTATAAGCAATAATAACTACTCATCAATAGTTTCGTGAAAAATCGCCTTTATGAGTTAAGAGTTTTTTATATGTAAATGAGCTAGTATAATTTTTTCATTATTATCTTTTCCTTGAAATCAAAAAAAAATAATTCACATTAATTTCAAAATAAATCAGAAAATATTAGGAGCTAAGATGATGTTTTTATTATTTTTTATTATTAATTAATTTTATTATTAATTCATGTTGTATTTTGAAGGAAATTCTTAATGTTAATGGAACAGACTTTGATTTCGCAGCCACACAGCTGATTGCTTTGACAGCGTTCCAAGCTACATTTGGCCAAACAAGCTTTTAAAGTAAATTAAAGCAAAATGAAGTCAGTAAGGCCAGCAAAGCAAGCCTACATTGAGCCAGCACCTTTACACTTACGCTGCACAACGTTTATGGAGACGATGGTGGGTTCGTCCTTTGAACATTCAGAGAAATCAGCTGGGGTTTTTTGAAACAAGCCTTTCTCAAATGAAAATTTCTAACCAAGAGAATTTTTTTAAAGCGACGAGGATGACTGTGGAAAAGTTTAATACATTGCTAGTGTTGTTGACGGAAAAACTCCAACGATATTCAAGACGAGGGCCAACCGCACCAGAAACTCGTTTGGGATTGACCTTGCTGTAAGTACATATCGCACACCGTTTTCAAAAGAGTCACAACTCAAAATAATACGTTCGTCAGAAAATGCGAAAAACTATTTCGTAGCACATGCTTATCATATGGGCAAGGGCGACTTTACCTTAAGTTTTTTTTAACAAATTATAACAAAGCTTTGCTCCAGCTTTTGCTGAAAGGTAAATAAAAGCTCTGTGTACATTTTTAGCGTATAATTTCGAAAATGCCAAATTCGGGTTGTGACTCTTTTGAAGACGGTGTGCGATATACAGTTATGAAAATATATTAAATATTCTTGTCGAGTTACAGTGCCTAAATATCTATTTTTACGAAAATCTCAGGTACTTATCACAGGGTTGTGATCCCCAATTTTTAGCTTGGTCGCATAAAATGGGAGCTTAAACAGTCCGGCAAGTCGTTTACCATACATGTGAAGCAATTTGGAGCGGACTACATGATAATTATGTTGCCAAGCCGAATGTAACAGAATTAAGAAACATTGCCGACAGGTTTGTTTTCTTCTTATTCCTTATGAAATGCCTAATTTTGTATAAATTCTAAGGTTTTACGCAAAAACAGGAATGCCTCATTGCCTGGGCGCATTTGACGGCAAACATGTTAATATTGTACGCCCAATTAACAGTGGCTCTTTGTTTTTTAACTACAAAAAAACCTTTAGCATAGTCCTACTCGCCACTTGTGATTCTAACTACACATTTACTGATGTGGATGCGATGGTGGTATTTTATCGAAAAGTGCCTTTGGGAAAATGATTTTAAGGGCAGAACTTGACATACCGTCACAAGATTATCTTCCAGGTAATGTCGAATTTTGTTCCGTTTCTAAGTATGCATAATCCACTCAAATTCTTTATATTGCAGGATCTAACATAAATTCCCCATATTTCTTTGTTGGTGACAGTGCGTTTCCACTAAAACCGAATTTAATGCGACCATATCCTGGCAGAAATGTGTCCACCCTAAAAGCTAATTTTAATTACAAGCTCTCTGCTGCGCGATTACTTATTGAAAATGCATTCGGCATTTTATCAAACAGATGGAGGGTTCTACATAAGCCCATTCATGCCGCGCCCAAGAATGTAGATAAAATAATTTTAGCAACAATTGTGTTACAAAACTATCTTATGCTGGATAGAGACCCCAACTATTTTAACGAGAATTTAGTCGATCATGAAGTAAACGGAAGTTTAATTCCAGGTACTTGGAGGGACACAGACACTTCAATGAACTCTGTCAAAATAGGGCAAATAAATTGCTCATCTGAGGAAGCATTTAACCTTAGGGAAACTATTGCTAACTATTTTACTGCAACTAATAACTGAACATACACAAACTACTTGCAATTCTAATAAATCGAACTGAAAGTAAATGATTTTTTTTTTAATTTTATATCAATACTCTTGAAACATATGAAAATAGTTAAGGTATGCGTAAATAATAAGTTTTGTTCCAGTGTGGACATTTTTGTATAGTACATATGTATGCATTAAATGCAGTATTGCAAATCGACATTTGCTTCAACTTATCTTACATACACGCAGTATTGTGCAAAACTCAATCAACAAAAAGCACTTTGTTTTTTCTACTACAATAATTATTCATTTATTTGATTGTTTTATCTTTATAAAAATGTTGTTCATTCTATAAAACATACCATATAAATCAAATTTTAAAACTTTGTACATAATTCACAAAATTGCCAAAAATTTCAAAAAATGTTTTATAAAGATAAAACAATCAAATAAACGAATAATTATTGTAGCAGAAAAAGTAGAAAGTAGAAAGTAGTTTTTGTTGCTTGAGTTTTGCACAATACTGCGGGTATGTAAGATAAGTTGGAGCAAACGTCGATTTGCAAGGCTGCCTGTTATACAGTGTATAATAAACATAGACTGAACTACATTTTTATAAAAAAATAATCAAATAAATAAATAAAAATTTGTGGCAGAAAAAAATTAAAGTGCTTTTCATTGCTTAGGCTTTGCACACTACTGTTCTTTTTGTTTACAGAAATCAGAAATAAAAAATGTTTATATGAATGAAAACTATATTTTGGGGGCCCACAAGGTACCATAAAAGTCATAGCATGCATTTTCCCACTGCTAAAAAAATTTGGATTAAAGTATTCTAAATACCTATTTACCTGTTTAAAGTTTACGACATACAACAGTACGACACTTACGATGCTGTTGTGAACACACCAGTTAGCTAATAAACCATTAAAATGATTGGAAAATGTTGTTAATTTAGATGATGGCAAAGCTATATTAAATTTAAAGAAAAGATTTTTATTCTGGCCTAATGCAAGGGAAAGATGGGGAATTGTGTCAGAAACTAAGGAAGAAATGCCGGGATGTGTAGGATACATCGACGGCTCGGAAATTAAATTATCTGAGGCGCCAGTAAAGAAATCATGAACAGTTCTTTTCACGCAAACGTCAATACGCCCTTAAGGTACAAGCAGTGTGCAATTACAAATTGCGGATAAGACAAATAACAATAGGTTACCCGGGCAGAGTTCATGACGCAAAAATTTTTCATAACTCTCCACTAGAAAAATATCCGGAACGCTTCTTGTCACCACTTAAGTGGCTCGCTGGGGACAGCGCTTGCCCAGTTAAACCCTTTTTGTTAACACCTTTTAGACAAAATAGCATCGAACATACCAAAGAGGATAGAGATCTTTACAACAAACATTTTTCCAAATATCGGGTCCGTATTGAAAATTGCTTCGGTATTTTGAAGGAAAAATTCAGCAGTCTAAAGGAACTTAAATTTAGAATGCTGAATAATAAAAATAAGGCGGAATGCAACGACCGGATTATGGTTTGCTGCATTTTACATAACGTTTTGATAAGCATACATGACGAAAATAGCAGTGAAATATTAACGGCAGATATTAATTTACCACCAGAATGCAACACAAGAACTAGTTTACTTAATTTTATACAAAACCAAATCCACTTTTGAAGTTTTCATGGTAATGGGCCCTATCGCGAATTTCACATGAACTATATTTTTATACAAAAATATTGAAAATAAATTAGAATAAAAAAACTATGCATATATTGCGAAAAATTCCCTGTGCTAATACTCTTGTTCGTCACTGTACATATGTATGTATCTACAAATTGAATGTGTACAATTTAAATTAATTTACATACTTAACTCAGTTTAATTCTTCAAAGTTTGTGTAATTTCTTTTTTTTTTTGATGCCAATGTTGGGCACCTTTGTGTTTTTAAATTTCCCAAAGTATTCATCTGAGGTCTACCGAAAAATATTGTTCAACATTTCGCAAACGTTCTTCTAAAGAGAATTGACTCCAAATAAAAATATTTACTTCCCAGCAAAAGCTTGAACAATATTTTTAACTTTGTTTTTTGAAAAATTTGTTTAATCCACTTTTGAAGAACGTGTTCGATATGTACATATGTATATACATATCGTCGTTTAAAGTGCAAAACCGCGTATCAACAAAATGCAAAACCGCGTATCAGCAAAAATGCAAAACCGCGTAATTGAACTTGTAGAAGTTATTTTCCAGAGCGTAAAACACTCATATTTCAAAATGGTTCTCTTTTTATAAAGCAATCGCATTTCTGGCTAGTATATTTCAGGACGAATGGATAAGGATTGAGCAAAGAGCTTGTGTGAGCAAATCCAATTTTTGGCAGCCAATGTCAGTTACGCGGTTTTGCAGAATTACGATACGTGGTTTTGTACTTTAAACGACGATATATACATATACCTCAGAAAACAGGATGAGATATAAGCTTCTTCCATAAAAAACGTTGTGTACAAAATGTGTGCATATGTATTTATACATATACATTCATACATATCTATTTATATTTGTAATTTGTACTTTTGTTTTATAAAAAATAATGAAATGATATAAAGAACGCTGTACGTCCCAGAAGACAGCAAACAAACTAATAAACAAATATTCACTGTACGTAAGCACTAAAATACGTTTAGTGTACATATATGTACATACACGCATACATACTACATGTCATCGCTAAAAAAAGGATTAAGTTGAAACATTGTCGAATTTATAACAATGGCATAAGCTGAGATACTTCGATGAATTTCCAACTAAACACTCTAAACCAAAATAACGATTATAAAAAACACACACATTCGATAATTCAACATGGTAGGGATGATATGTGTACATATGTATGTACCTACACACATATGTAGGAAGTACTTGGTGACGGGTGGAGTACCACAGGGCTCCGTACTTGGGCCACTACTTTGGATTGTCCTCTATGATGGAATTCTGAGACTGCCGCTGCCAAGGGAGGTACAAATTATCGGATACGCCGATGATATAGCAATAACAGTAGTGGCCAAAGACCTCTACCAAGTTGAGAACATCTGCAACAGCACGGCGCAGCAAATAAAGAACTGGCTCGCTGCAACGAATCTCCAACTCGCAGGGCAAAAAACCGAAGCGGTGGTGATCACAAGCCGAAAAAAGATGGAGAGCGTTACGCTCAACATCGATGGACATAGCATCAAAACACAGCAGTCGCTGAAATACCTGGGTGTCATGATAGACTCGAGATTAAGCTACAAGGTGCACATTGATAAAGCTTGTGAAAAAGCGGCAAGAGTGACCACGGCTCTAACAAGACTAATGGCTAACATCGGCGGACCGAGTCAAAACAGACGAGCGCTTCTAGCAAAAGTGAGCCAGTCCACACTAATGTATGCAGCACCCATCTGGGGACCCGCGTTGCAGCGCAAGACTTACGCGAAGGCGGCAAAGTCGGTGTACCGACTAAATAGCATCAGGGTGACTAGCGCCTTCCGTACTGTGTCACACGAGGCGGTCGGAGTCTTAGCGGGCATCATGCCCCCAGAAATAATGGCCATGGAGCTAAAAAGAGTCTTCGATAAGTCCCGAAACTTAGGCAGGTGCCTGACAATCGAAGAGCGAAAACAAGAGAGGGATGCAAGTCTAAATGAATGGCAAAGACACTGGGATGTGACGACAAAAGGGAGGTGGACGCACAGGCTGATCAATAACATAAAAGCGTGGGTGGAGAGGAAACACGGAGAGACCGACTTCTACGTGACACAGTTGCTGACGGGGCACGGCTGCTTTCGAGAATACCTGTTCAAATATGGGCATGATGACGGGACAGAGTGCTCATTCTGCGGTAGCGGCGACGAAAACGTACTACACGTATTTTTCCACTGCCGAAAATACGAGGCAGATCGCACAGACATAGAGCAGCTGATAAAGGAGAGCATGACGCCTGACAATATCGTGGGGCACATGATAAACTCAAAAGCGGTGTGGAGCAGAATTAAGGCGTGGTCCGCAATAGTCCTCCAGGAGCTAAGAGCGAAAGAACGACAGCGCAGTAGCGAAAAGAGAAGACTGAACGAGAGATAAGCCAGAAAGGCGTGTGTGAAGAGCCAATTGGCAAAGCTACGCCTTGCGACGTAATACCTAACGGCGGTCCCGCAAGGCGAAACACAAGGCTTCAGACGTCGGAGTTAAGGGTTTAGTACGTAGGCGCGCTGTCTCGCAAGTCCTGAATTATGTGATAACATAGTCTGGGCGTGGTCCCGAATGAGGTGCACCCTTAGCGGACAGGATGACGAATCGTGCATAACATCTTTGGAAGATTCCCCCTCCGTTGAAAAAAAAAAAAACACACATATGTATGTATGTATGTAGGTGAGTAGTTCTTTCTTATTTATATTTTCGGTTAAGCTCCTCCACTGCCAGTCTCTCCATCATTTCTAGCTCCATAATTTTTAGCCTATCATTACTCTTCATCTCCTTTTCTCTTGATTCCATTTCTTTTTCCTTCAATGCTAATTCGTTTCTTATAAGCTTTTATTTAACTTGGTCATCCCGCGCAAATCGCGGAAATTTCCAATCGATTTTAAACTGACTTCCCGACAAGTTGGAGACTTGAAATTTTCAGCATAGTTCCAATCACGATGACAATGCAATTTGAAATATAAATGAATTCCCCATATGGTGCAGGGGTCTTGATTCAAAGGCGGTCAAAAAATAGTACGATTTTTGGCTAACAGAGCGTAATTTGCCAAAGATCGTAAGACCACTATAAAATTGTTAAAGCTGCCAGCGCGCCGCGGCGGTAGTGTAGCAAAGCTATTTGTGGCAAATTCAACCTAGTCTAGATATGAACCTCGTTGTAGGCATCATATTAAGGAGATCCAATTAGAAGACTCCAGATGTCGCCCCGCGAGAAGAAGTTAAATATTGCGCCTAAATATTTGCATTGCTACAGCGGAAATGGACGACACGCCATTTCTTTAAACCAGAGTTG